GAGTTTGCAATCCTATTTATCATCGTGTCTAGCCTATTTATCATTGAGTCTAACTAATCTACCTTTGATTTATCTTAGTGTCACTCTTCTATAAGCGCGGCTAGATATCTGCTCACATCTAAATGTTGTATGTTTTTATTCAAATAATTGTTTTATGATTTTTATTCAAATATTTTTTCTATGTTTTTTTACAATCAATTGTTTAGTGTTTATATTCCAGAAAGATGACAGCCCGCACCTCCTCTTTGTCTCATTGTTGTAACCACGTGGTCTCTTAATCGTCGTGGCACATTTCCGTTTTATAGTATTGCCGTGAAATCGATCGTTATCGCATTCATCTTCGGCCGATATTCCCTATGCGTTGGGTGAGCAGACGAGGAAAAACGTTTTAAACTAAACATACGCTCGTGTCGCCCCACACTCTTACTATCAAACGGATTGCCGAGCGAGGTTGTGTTGTAGAATAGCAGACCCCGAGACTGCGTCAACGCATACGAACACCCTCTTGTTTCCATCTTGTTTCTCACTCGAATGCGACGGACTTGTGAAAGGCTAGTCCATATCCTTCTAAAAAAACAGAAGGCTATGGCTGGTCATAAGAATACGCAGTATCAAAGCAAGCCAAAGCCCTCAAGTCGGTCCACCTGATCGAGTAATTGGGCGGTGGTATAGATGTGTCTATGTAGGACGACAGCTCGTGTTGTGTTGTGTTGTGATACATACTCATCCCACAAAGGCGGGCAGGGGTTTAGGGTTTAGGGTTTAGGGTTCACAAGGTTTGTATCGGGGTTCGAGAATATATAAAACCAAAGTGCGTATAGGCAGATACGCCGCTTGGGAACATCCTAGGACATAAACATTTGATGGCAACACACTGCATGTCCATACTAATCTCGTTTCGTATGTCATCTGCACTATACACCATTGAAACAGACATACATGGATACTGATGCATTCTATGTACACTTATACCGAGCATGTGAGAACAGATATACATGGATACTGATACATTCTATATACACTTATACCGAGCATGTGAAAACATATATACATGGATACTGGTACATTCTATGTACACTTATACCGAGCATGTGAGAACAGATATAAATGGATACTGGTGCATTATATGTACACTTATACCGAGCATGTGAGAACAGATATAAATGGATACTGATACATTCTTTGTACACTTATCCCGAGTATGTGACAATAATGCGATCGCGTGCAGACATGGACGTGTCTAGTCCGTAAAGCGACATCCGGATAAGACAGTGGTCCAGTGATGTATACTCACAGTGGTGGAATTAATGTGAGTATAACAGACTGTGAAGAGACAATATCAGCTTTTCACCTACATATACACGCACACATAAAGAACAGACTGTGAAGCTACAATACCAAACATTCAACTACATATACACGCTAAAGAACAGACTGCGAAGCTACAATACATATACACGCACACATAAAGAACAGACTGTGAAGCTACAATACCAACCATTCACCTACATATACACGCACACATAAAGAACAGACTGTGAAGCTACAATACCAACCATTCAACTACATATACACGCTAAAGAGCAGACTGCGAAGCTACAATACATATACACGCACACATAAAGAACAGACTGTGAAGCTACAATACCAACCATTCACATACATATACTCGCACACATAAAGAACAGACTGTGAAACTACAATACCAACCATTCCTCTGCACGTGCTTACATATACACACACACAAAATATCCGCACCATACGACATGTAGGTCGTAGTCGCTCTGGAATGGCACTGAGGTACATTTGGAACACCCAAGGATGCTAACTCTCCCAAGTGTTTCGCTATTTCTATACGTACAAGGATAAAACTACCAGGATAAAACGAATATCCACAGTACTACAATATACACCAATAGATGTACTGCCTATGTGTGTAGTGCCAGGTAGACTTACTCGTACTCCACACCCGCCATGGTCAACAGTCGCTTGGAGGCGATTATACTCGTGGTCTCCGAGTATTTGTCACAGTAGTACAGAACTTTGCGGATGCCCGACTGGATGATGAGCTTCGAACACTCTGTTAGTAGTTGTATATAAGCTATTGTATTAAGTGACATGACAGTTATTGAACACTCTGTCAGTGGATGCATATAAGCTATTGTACTAGTGACACGATAGTTATTGAACACTCTGTCAGTAGTTGCATATTGTATGTACGTATGTATGTATGTACGTATGTATGCATGTATGTATGTACAGAATAAGAAACTGTGGCTATGTAAATACATGCATAAGTAATGATGGTATGTATACATTTGACCTATGAATGTACAATCTAACGGTACACAGTCAATTGTGAACACGAATGCCGTGTAATCATCGACACGTATTATTATCAAAACGTTAGCTCTTGCTACACTTAATGCACATAACTAGTACTGATGATGATATAGACGTTTGGTATCAAAACGTTAGCTCCTGCTACACTTTATGTACATAACTAGCACTGACAGTAGACACGTTGGGTATCAAAACAAGATGGCCACACAAAAGAACAGCAAACCACACACACAAGAAAGGAGGAAGGAGATGCATGACACATACAGACAACCCGCTACCGTACGCCAGAGTGTGTATACAGTTACTGCGAGATACCGGCAGAGAGTGACCCAACGTATGCTATGGCCACAGCATAGATGTAGCAACACCCCTCATACCATTGCAGGGGAAGAGTGCTACGTATATGCGACAGTCCTTGACGCTGGAGGAGTTCTTGTTCAAAATGGCATTCAACTCGGCATGGCACACGTAGAGGTACCTATGGAGATAAACTATTGGGTTATTGCAACTGTCCGATGGAACACATAGGGATATCTATGGAGATGGACTATTTGGTTATTACAACTGTCCGATGGTACACATGTTCTGATCTTGTGCATGGTATATTATTATGGTTCAATTCGGGAAAGTTGGCACCGTCGAATACAAAAATCTATAGGTGTTCAGTGTATAGTCGGAGTGGACGTAATGGCTGAATACGTAACGACACTACGAGATAGGATGTTTA